TCCTACAAGTTTAGAAGGGAAGAAAGAACAGGGACCTGACCTTCTCTGGAAGAACCTGCAAATCACAAGCTGGCTGAACAAACCTGTAGTGGAAGGTAAGGAGCGAGGGTGGAAGGACAGGAGTGTTAGCAGACCTGAACTTCCCCTGTTTTGTGGGACAAGGATTTGTGAGTTTTCCAATGGCCCAAACGGAAACCATGGAAGTTGCCCAAGAGGTTTGCCTCCCAGGACAAGGGAACCCTTATCTGTAAAGCCAGGGCAGGAGCTCATGAGGGTGATGTGTGATCTCATAGAAAATAAATCCCCCAGAATCCCCTGTTGGTATTCTCCAAAGAAACCACTAATATCCTCCAGGAAGTAAATCAAATATAGACACCTGCCAAAATCAAGTGAGAACTACAGACAGGAAATTGTTGGGGTGGAGATGAGAGAAGAGGCATTTGGAATAAAGAGAGTGAAATAACAGACCAGGTTCCATCTCCCCACCCTCACCCCTTCCTCTCTGCTGGGCCTACAGCACATTGGTTAGGCTGCAACTGGTGACAGTAAAAACTTTAAACTGAATGCAAGGTTCAAGTTTTGATTTAATTTAGATCGGATCACACCTTTTAGTATCTGAATGACTCCTAAATTATAGTATATCCTGAAAAGGCATCCCAGGGCAGAAAGGAGACTTCAAAATAGTGTGGTTAAGGCAATGGGGAGACAAAATAAAGCTGTTCTCATTGTACAGACAAAATAAAGCTCTTCCCTCCCATTACATAAGCTGGTTACATATGCACAAGAGAGCCCCTTGGGCCTACACTTAGAGAATATGTACTCGGCTCTTGCAAATAAATTTATCATTTTTGCAATATTTATCATTTTTTTAGAATACAGCTACATTAGACAGCAGGGGAAGCGTTGTTACTAGCTGGTGCGCTGGCAGCAGTGAGCAATGACAGACACCTGCCGGCCTCAGAGCAAGGAGAAAACAGCAACACGGTAAAAGGCAGCTGTAAGGACTGTAAAATCAGATCAGCAGTCACCATTTTGCATCAGGGCAAACTTTCACCCATGCAGCCTGCCTCCCCCCGCCACAGGCACAGTCAGGTGGTTTCTGGGAGGGTCTGATTCAAAAAGTCCACGGTAAAAGTCAGGAAGCTTAGTTACTCTCAAGGTGATTTTGCCCAGATTTGCCAATTTTGTAAGAAAAAAGAAACTGAAAAAAAAATTGTTAAATCCCTCCAATAATGGTGTTAGTAATATTTTTATGTCCCCCATGTGCTTCCATTTAGTATCTTAGAATCAGGCATATACACATTTTAAAAGATGTCTATTCAAAATTAATTTTAAGGCTTTGCTGCTCATAAATGCATGTCTTCAGCTTTTCAGAAAACTCAGTTGATCAGAATGATGTGTTTCCTACATGTATCCAGTAGTCAAGATTTTCCTAGATGGATATAGTAAGTGTCATACAAGAGCTCATGAAATTAAAACCAGAGATATTCAACGTAAGACCAGGTATGCTAGGCTGGTGGGACTTTTTCAGGAGCTTGGACTTGATTTCTGGATTTAAAGACTAAGTAAATTAAGAGATTATGTAAATATCAACCAGCACTGAACACAGTGAGAAACAGATCTAAAACGGGGAAGTAATTGCCCATCTAGTCCTCAGGGTGAGTAAAATTATTGTGAAAAGGGATTTTGTACATTTTTATCTCAGCTTGCTCCTGCAAAGGGAGGACAAGCTGGGGAAATGGCTGGGTGTATTTATGAGATTGTTGAAAGGATACATTACACAGAAGATAAACTAGAGAAATTGTATGGTTGTGTTTGCCCATATACAATCAAAAGCTCTGCACAATTGATGTGTCCAATAAAATCATGAGGTGCTACACAGACTACATAGACAAAAAAGCAGAATAAGGGCATTGTGCTTGGAAGATGTCCAGGAGAGAGTATATGAAATAATTTATTGCGTTGCCTAAACCCTGAAATCAGAGATGTCTGAGGGAGAAAAGAAAAAAACACGAGGAAGAAAAATATAAAGGAAACCACTGATAGAAGATCATGGAAGCCAAAGTTCTTGCCCATAAGAGATGGCTGCAACTTTTTGTTCATTGAGCATTCCTATTTCAGAGTGCACAGTGAATACTGGAAAAGTCTACTGATGCCAAATATTGTTAAAATAATTCCCTTAGTAAGTTAAACTCCATTCACTAAAATGAGTGGCTAAAGTGCCACTTAATAAATACATGTGGGTTGATGAGTACTTGGTTCTTTTTAGGATTCCTTGCCATAGCATAGAAAATGCAGGCTGTTTAAATTTCGTGAAGCACCACTGCTTTTGTAAAGCAATATTATTCACATATAGATAACATTGAAGAGAAGATGAAATTTATTATTATGCCTAATACAAACTTTCACTGGAGCGTCTTACTTTTTCTAACCAATGCAGTCTTTTTTATTTTCTACTTCATCTGTCAAATGAATGATCTTAAATGACTTACTCTATTGATCCTATTTGTCCCTTTTGGGTAAATTTTCCAGAGGACTGAAATATCCTAAAAGTCTTCTTCACTCTGATTGTTCTATATTCCTTTTGATGTGGTCTCTTCTACCTTTTGCCTCCTTTTATATTTTAGTTTCTTTATACAAATATTTTTTGAGTATTTCCTGTGTTCAGGCACTGTTCTAGATCATGGGCACACAACAGAGAGAATGCCATTGGAACTCATAACCTATCAGTTAAAACAGACACCCAGCTATACTTGCCTAGGGGTGAAGGTGAGAAGGGCCGAAAACAAAACAAACAAATAAAAACAGGAAATTCCTCCACTCTATCTCAGAGGGCCTCCATTTCCTACACCTCTGACCAGAAAGAAAGGGCTTATTTAGAAACTACTTCTTTCTGTAACCAGCATGCACTTTCAGGCTTCAGACTGTCTTTGATTTCAGGCTTGGAGATAACAGGAAAAAGAACACAAGACCAACACAGAAGGCTCACCACCTGTATGTCGGGACTATGAGCTTCCCGTCCAGCTGCTAGCATTTGCTGCTAGCACAGCCCACAGCAAATAGCTTCACGCATATTGTCCCAGAGTTTCAGTTGTATTCAGTGGGGAAGTCAGGATCACATGCCCTTATCACATCTTAGTGGGAACTCAAGTCCCCAGTGAGTACAACTTTTGTAGTTCTCCAACAATACATCTCTGGACAAGTCCCTTGAGCAGCATCCAGACATTCCTCCTCCTGCCAAGAGATGTTTACAGTGACATCCCTATACTTCATTCTTGGCAACAGACCTCAGTTTTAGAAGTGGATGAGCTGATCAGTTCTCCTTGGAGTTTCTTTTCTAGAATAATTCAAACTCTAGAACATCCAGAACCTCCGGGCTGGCTCAGACTCAGCTTCGTTCTTAGTGCACCCAGTTCTCCCTGACATGCCCCGTGAGGATGGTGATACTCACCACATGAAGCCCAACCAAGAGGACACCCCAACTCATATTAAGTTGAAAACTACCTTATATCCTATCTCATGGATATATCATAATGCATCCATATACCCAGGCCTGAAGAGATGAACATGCAGTTATCTCCAGTGCTTGCAGACACCTGGTGTTAAAACGGCTTTGCCGCATTTGACAGTTCTGTATACTGCACTGCATAAATGTTCTCATACATGTGTTGAATAAAATCCTAAAAGTGTAATATAATTTTGCACGTTAAAAAAATTAAAGTGTGATGTGTTATTCACTTCCATTTTTTTCAGTTACCCTAAAAATAACATTTTTGAGACTCTATTTTCCAGCACTTTTTTTCTCATTATATCCCTCACCTGCAGCTCTGTTATCATTTATAGAATTGTATTGAAATAGCTTGACTTTATCCATTCTTCTAGACCAGTGCTGTCCAGTAGTACTCTTTGAAGATGGAAATATATGCTGTATGAGAGCCGCTAGCCACATGGCTACCAAACACTTGGGATGTGGCTAGTGTGATAGAGGACCTGAACTTTGAATTTTATTTAATATTAGCTAACTTAACTTTTAAGTGTATTTGGTGCCACCATACTGGACAGCACAGTTCTACCTCATGAGTCCTTGAGGGAAGCAATTTGATGGTTCTTTTCTTTAAAATCTCTAGCACCTAGGATAGTCAGGACAGGCTAGGGTCTGCCATGGTCACAAATCAACCTCAATGAATGAGTGTTTTAATATTACAAAGTATTATTTTTTGTTTATCGTACATGTCCAGTGTGAATTAGTAGGAGCTTTACTTCCCACCATTATTCAAGATCAGGCATGTGAGATCTTCCTGGACCAGGGCTCAAACCCATGTTCCCTGCATTGCAGGTGAATTGGGAAGATTGATAATTATACATTTGGGGCAGATAGATGAAAATGGTGGATGCTAGGTTAAGAAATTTAAAATATACTTGGAAAACAACCACCAGTGGATGATTTGTTCTGGGTTATCAAATCACCAGATCTTTTAAAAATGTTTTTACATTAAGTTTAATATAAGATTGGAAAGGAGGAGTCTTCTTCTTTTTCCAAGACAGCAAAATAGAATGAATATGGATGAAAATTTAGAAGAAGAAATTTTGAGAGCACCAAAAATGTGGATGTACAGATACGAAAATATCAATAACACAACAATTAACATATTGGCCCTTACAGTATCCCAGGGATCTCTCTGATGAAATATTTAAAATCATTTAAAAATCAAAACGAAGTAACTACGTCTCAGGCATCCAAAATGGAGCCAGTTGGCCATTGTGGATTTAGTTTCAGACACATTCCTTGAAGCACCGAGAACTTGAATTTTCTCTAAACTGTATCAAACTCAAGGACACAGCCAAACAATGTTTGCTAGCAACTACTAGCAGCAAACTTGTAGTTTCGAAGTTCCTTTCCACTTTGCAACTATGTAATCATTTCAGACCACAATCAATCCTTGCATAACAAATACCCTTCTTGTCAGCTCCAATCCTAATTCTTGGCAATCAATTTACGTAACCTTGTAGGTTTTTTGCCTTTATAAGCCTTCCACATTATGTAGTCCCTCCGAACACAATTCAAATGCTTGTATCTATTTCCTGGCTGCAGTCCCAACAAACCCCAAACAAATGCCTCTTTATTCCAATCAGGTCTCTGTTTCTGAAATGTTGGTTAATAGCTCTAAACACTTTATTGTTTCATTAAACCCACAAGAAACTAAACCCACAAGATGAGGAGAGTAAAGGATTAATAGAGAAGTTAAGAAATTACCAAAAATCATATAGCACATAAGTGGTGATGCCTTTGGTCCGCAAAACAAGAGTTATAGAATGCACTGAGAGAATAAGACAAAACACACAGGGTTTGGAATGAGGCTTTGAGGAACTGTAGAGAATGCTTGAATCGTCACCCTAAGGAATACAATAAGGTGGCAAGCCCTCTTAGATTTACTGAGAGCTATGTCCTGTCACTTCAATTTTCCACCACAAAATCAGTAATTGAGTAAAGAATACTCAACAAAGACAAAAGGAAATACTAAACAAAGACTTAGCTGAGGTAACTATTGTTTTGCTCTATTAGGGCTGATTCTTCTTTGTAGAAATTTCAATGCCCATCTCTCTCTGATTTCCTTTTACCCACCTCTTACGTAATCACCACTCCACAAGAAATCTCCTCAGAGATAACAATGTATCCAGTAAGTAAGTACTTACTTCTGTTGACTATTTGCTCCAACTGGTTGTTATTTTCAGTAGTGTTGAAAAAAAAAAGAAAATTGGTGGGGAAGGAAATTGGTTTAGATGTAAAGCCATTTGTATCTTACTTGTCAATATTTGGGTTCATCAACTATCTGCTCACCATTGTCATGGATAATTGGAAGTTGATGCTATGCTCTCTATATAAAAGTATATAAATTCTGCTACTTTTAAGATCAAGTATATTTTCACTTTTAATTATCGCTAATATTTATTCATAGCATTATTTATAAAAGGATTTCCAGAGCAAAAAGAAAGCTAGTCAAGGAAAAGATATAGGCCCTTGGTTATACCATTTTGTTGATCTACAAAATCGGTGAGAACTCTGAAGAAAATGTCTCTGGTACTGGAAACTCACAGAGTTGCACATCAATTATTTGCTGGGTGGCAGTACATTTTTTGGAGAACAACTGACATCTGTAGAAAATCAAATAAGGCAAGGCAACAACTTTGAAAGTGCCACTCGAGTTTTCATCCATTTCCTAATGTCATGTTTTTCAAATTGCATCATGTTCTCAATCCTTCTGCATGTTGTTACTTTGGAAATAGAAAGCAAAAATTAAACTACGTTTTGAAATGTTACCTCAATTGAGAAAAGAAGTTGTCATTACCCTTATGGTAAGCATCACTATTAATCAATACATTTGATTTCCTGATGAGCCAGATACTAAAGATATTTTCAGGGACATTAAATGGTCTTTGCTGCTCCCAAGAGAAAGTGTCCTCACCCATCTTCTGTAGTCTTAACATTGTCCATAAACTTCATAAATGCGTATGCAAATGAAATTGTATATGTGCATTTTTTCCTGGGACAGGGTCTATCATGGTAAGATATTCAGTTTGTAAAATCAGCTAATATTACCTGCTGTCTTTAAACAAAAATTACTTGCTCACTCTTCTATCCCCTTTTCTCCTTCCATAAGAAGCTTAAACCCAAGAGAAATGCTTAGTGGCTGTGAGCAGACTCTTAGGAGAGCCAATAGAAACCCTAGGTTAACTAGGCAAGAATTTAAGCTAGATTCCATCATATCTACTTGATATTGGAGAACCTGAGAAATGATCTAACAAGGAGACAGCTATCACAAGAAGACACTGATTTTCATTTCATTGAAAGTTTCATTTGGGACTTGCTTTTAAACAATTCAGGTGCAGAAAAAATAGAAAACACATTCACAGTTCACATATTTTTGTTGAGTGTTATACGAAAGCAAATCTGGGAAGTGGGAAGGAAAGAAAACTCTGTGTATGTGTGTGTGTGTGTGTGTGCGCGCATGTGTGCACCCATGCATGCGTGTGCACCTGTGTGAAAGAGATACAGTTACAGTGGCTTACTAGGAAACAATGTAGGAGAAATTTTTAAAGAATAATTAATATATATTTATATCTATTTATTGAGATAATTTACGTATAAAATAGTCATTTTTTAAAGGGTACAGTTGTTGAGACTTGACAAATGTGTGTAGTAGTGTAATCAACAGCACAATCAAGATATGGACATTTATTTCCAACACCCCCAAAATTTCTCTTGTATCTCTTATCTGCCCATACCTAGATCCTGGCAAAAATGATTAACTCTCTCTCTGGTTTCACAATATTGACTTTTCAAAGTGTCATATGAAGGGAACCATACCATTTCCAGTCCTTTTGTCCATCTTCTGTCACTGTTAACAATTCATCCATGCTGGGCTTGACAACATGTGCCTTTACAATTCATCCATGTTGTAGCACATACCATCAAGCCCAAGTTCGTGTGCCCGACACACAGTGAGGCCAAACAGAAACACTGGAGTTTGGAGCAGAGAAAGGTTTATTGCAGGGCCAAGCAAGGAGAATAGGTGGCTCATGCTCAAAAAGCCAGAACTCCCCAGTGGTTCAAAGAAGAGCTTTTATAGGCAAGATTTGGAGGGAGGGCAGCAAGGGTGTATGACTTTCTTCTGATTGGTTGGTGGTTAGGGTGGTGTTCCAGGAGTCTCCCTCATCAGTGTTCTGGTTCTAACCAGTCTAGGGTCCATGTGCTTGTGCTCAACCTGGAGTTACCATCCTCCCCCTGGGTGGGAGCTCCAGCTCCTGCAGAAGAACTCAGAGATATGTATCCGATTGCTATGCACATCCCCTGAGGAGGATCCAGAACCCTGCCCCATTGCAATACTATTGCTTCTTGACTGCTCCTCCTTTGTTTCTGTATTCCCTCACTTCCCTAATTTGTAACTATTTGAATCTGCCTTCTAGGACTCAGGAAAGGTCTAGGAGGCTGAAGACTTATTTCCTACAGAAAAGAAACTGGGGACACAGGAAGGCTTTTGTACCTAGGAGTGCCCCATGGGGTCCTGCTTGGTTTCATTAGCAGTCCATTCCTTTTTATAGCTATTATTCTATTGTATGAATATACCACAATGTGTTTATCCATTTCCCAGTCCATAGACATTTGAGTTGTCTCCAGTTTGGGGCCATTTTGAATACAACTGCTTAAACCACTGAGTACAGGTCTCTTTGTGGATATTTGTTTTCATTTTCTTAGTAAATAAATATCTATGAATAGAATTTCTGGGTCTCCAGTATATGTTTAGCTTTTTAAGAAACTCTCAAACCCTTTCCCAAAATAGTTTTACCATTTAGTATTCCCAATTGCAATGTTTAGTATCCCAATCACTCCACATCCTTCTTAACACTTGGTGTTGTGAGTTTTTTTTTTTTTAAGCCATTTTAGTGGGTATGCAGTGGTAAGTGAGTAACTTATTACCATTTTAATTTTTGTTTCCATGTTAAGGAATGATGTTGAACATCTTTACATTATTTATTGACCTATATTATTTGGGGGGAAGAACCTGTTCAAACTTCCTACTCATTTGTTATTTTCTTTTTAATGTTGTGTTATAAGAGGTTTTTTGGGTTTTTTTAAATATATATTCCATTTTTTTCCCTTAATCAAATATCTATTTTACAAATATTTTTTTCCTAGGCTTTTCAGAAACAAGTTGGAAAAAGGAGAAAGCCAATCAAGGACTCAATGTATTGAATTCCAGGCTTGCTATAGAGCTTTAACAGTCAAGAGAGCATGACACTGGTGTAAGGGTAAACAAATAGAAAACTGGAACTAAATAGGAAGCATTATAAATTTTACAATTATAATACAACTTCACATATATCACCTAATTATCTAATTTAACCCTCCACTTTTCTTTTTAAAGCAGAAGTATAATACACATCTTTACATTTCTTCAGCCACCAAACCAATGCAATTTCCATAGATTGTGTTTCAGTGTCTCATAAGATAAATGTTTTTGAGCTTTATTATTTTCCCTTTATTGTTAAACATCCATTTTGCCATAATGTCATTCCCCTTCTGACTTGTTCTACAGACTAACCATAATGTGTTGTTAAGCTTCTGTGGATTTCTTATTCTAAAAGCATCTTTATCTTCAAGACCCTGTCCTGTTTTAACCTAAATTTGAAGCTGTAATTATTTTACAGCCCAAATAATATTATCTTAGGGTTCTAGGTGAAGTCCATTCAAGGCTATCCAACCTTATTCTATACTTGGGAGCAAAAAGTGGGCAGAGCATTCACTGTACCCAGGTAAGCCTAAGAAAACAGCTGTAACAACCTTCCTCTCAAATTTTCCTTGTGGCTAAAGTAATCAAAGAGAGGAATTCAATCTAGAGGGGGGTAAAAAATCAGCCATTAATTTCTTCTTTGAGATTCTTTTTAATTATGCACAAAATCTCGTGTTACAATCCTGGAAATGCCTAAGATCTAACATGAAGCCAACTCTGCTTCCGGCCTTAAGGAAAGCACCCTGGTTTGTAGGTCCCCCTGCCTCTAGTAAAGACAAAAAGCAATCCTACTTAGTCAATCCTCACTAACTAGGGCTCTGCACTAGAATTTGAGACCAAATCCTTATTATACTCTATACTTAGCTGTGGGGACCCTGTGGGTTAAAGTGAAAGATCAAAGGTGCTATTATGGCATCCCTGTATCCCTAGGTCAAGTATTATTTTAATCTTGCCTGATTTACTCCCAGCATTAATTAATAATCTGATTTATGTGATTTCATGTCTTCCTTTACTCACATACTTCACATGGACAGGTGGTGGCTTAATTTTCCCAAAAATTTAACCAGAAATATATTCCTATGTTAACTAACTCCACGTAATCCCCTAACACTGTCTTAATACATGTAATATATTATAGCCTTGGGAAACTGAAATAGTGTTTGAGAAGGAACCCTGAGACTTTTGAGTGTGTGGAGGTACTGGCAAATTGTGGGGTCCTCAGTCATGAGTGAGGGATAAAGCAGCACCTGAAAGGGCAAGGAGAGGAGCTGTTTATGGCTTGTCTTTACTGCCTGACTCTAGCCAGAGGCTGAAATAACTACTGCAGAGCAGAATAAAGAAAAAAGAATGAAAAGAATTGAGGACAGTCTCAGAGACCTCTGGGACAACATTAAATGCACCAACATTCCAATTATAGGGGTCCCAGAAGAAGAAGAGAGAAAGAAAGGGACTGAGAAAATATTTGAAGAAATTATAGTTGAAAACTTCCCTAATATGGGAAAGGAAATAGTTAATCAAGTCCAGGAAGCACAGAGAGTCCCATACAGGATAATTCCAATGAGAAACATGCCAAGACACATATTAATCAAACTATCAAGTATTAAATACAAAGAAAAAATATTAAAAGCAGCAAGGGAAAAACAACAAATAACACACAAGGGAATCCCCATAAGGTTAACAGCTGATCTTTCAGCAGAAACTCTTTGTAAGCCAGAAGGGAGTGGCAGGACATATTTAAACTGATGAAGGAGAAAAACCTACAACCAAGACTACTCTACCCAGCAAGTATCTCATTCAGATTTGATGGAGAAATTAAAAGCTTTACAGACAAGCAAAAGCTAAGAGAATTCAGCACCACCAAACCAGCTTTACAATAAATGCTAAAGGAATTTC